GGGTTCGGGTCACCCATAACATTATGCGCGGGATTTATGCGCATATTTTCGTACTCGCGATCCGAAAACTTCCGAGATGCATAATTATGACCTCAACTTCGAGTGCCACGCCCGAATTTTTCTCGCCGCGTCGCAAAGGTGATTCTGGAGAACCTAGAAAATAGAGAATAGTTGATGAATTGTGTGTAACCTGGACGAGGCAGGGAATTTGACCGAAAAACTGAAGAAGTCAAAGAATGGACCACTAGGCGATGTGCGAATTTAAGCGGTGGAATCTTGGCGAAGAAGCACTCTTGGATAAGCGCGAGTTTCTATCATTCACAGATCGCTCTTTTTCTGTGTGTATGTCAGAATTTTTAACGTCAATGTAACCGAGAACTTAAGAATTTTCGTATCCAAACTTTAAGGCGTCATATCTCCCTCAATTTTTAAGCTTTCGTGGTCAAACTTGCGTCAAAATGTCCAGATTTTCTTCCTCTGTGCAGGATACCACCAACTCAATTTTGAATTTCTTGGAAAATAAGGTCCCTTTTCACAGATCCTGTAAGATTTCGTCTGGCGTAAAGGCGTAACTCAATTTCCAAGTTGTGCATTCCAGGGCTCAATTGGAAACAGAGATATCGACGGCGTAAGTCGGCAATCACATATCTCGTTAGCGGTGTCTAAAAGTCTCCGCCGCTCTGTTATTTTTTCAAACGAGAACAAAGTGACATCATTCCTTGAAGTTTTTGCAGAATTTTCTTCGCACAGAGATGAAAAATCAAGGCAGTTTTAAAGAATTGTATTGAGTAGTTTTCCGTTTAACAAATTGAGTATGACAGGAAGTCTGCGACGCGACGTCGCAAACCGAGTAATATGATTGCCGACTGACGCCGTCGATATACTTTAACGTCAGAGGAGCGGCAATTTTTAATTTTCGGAAATTTCCGGAACAGTTGACGTGATACTTGAGGATTTTAAATTTCATGAAATTTTGCCGCCGCGCCGGCCGTGGCCCCGAATCGCGAAACCCCACCGGGAGGGGTGATTGCCGCGTGATCATTTGGAGAAGTTGGCAGTACTTGGGTCACTAATTCTCACCGAGTCCAGATAAGGAGCTCATCTTTGACACGGCCGACACAATCTGAGGCCGCGGAACGTGGTGGCTGAGTTGCGAGCTGGTTAAATCGTTAAATGCTCGTTTAGCATCGTTAAGTATCTTCACAGGTTTTAAGAATGGACTCGGAGCCGCTGCAACTGCAACTGCCTGCCCCTGCGCCTGCGTACGGCTACGGCTAATGCGCCGAGGAAAGATTGCGCCTCGTTCGGATAATGAGACACCACGCGTTTGTCAATGCTCCCGCAACATGAAATCCAACCCGTGTTGCCACCACCTCCGAAAAAAGTACTTTTAACAGGGCGTCGCCCGCGGGCTAATTATCGAAATTGATAGACAAAGCTATTGACAATGAAGGCATAAAGGATATGGTGGGATCCTTTTGGTGGAAGCGGATGATTGCTGTAGACAAAGGAGGTAAGAAATAGACTAACCGACGATAACCGATCAGTTAGTCCATCATATTCTCCCTTATACCGGAATCACTCGCTAAATTTGGCAGCTGAATATGGAGGTCAACAGTTATCGCTCAACGTCTAAAATTCTGCAGATTCGAGTTATTTTCATCCAGATTTTTATCAAATCTTTTCAAATAGTTAAGACAAATCCGACATTATCCGATGGTCGCTGAGATTCATTGCTGAATTTTGCGTGACACGTCTGAAATTCAGGCATCAATCCGATGACCTCCACATGCAAGCCACATTCCAGCTCCCACATTCAGCGGGTCATTCCGGCATCAGAGGATCGCTCCATACTCCCTATGTTATCTTCGTCTATCAATTTCATTAGTCAGTCCGCAAGTCTGCAAAAGCTAGAAAGTCTGGAGCGGAACGTTTATGAGGGAACATGTTTTGTGGTGGTCAGTGCTCAGTGGAGCTCTTGCATGTGTCAGGGCTTTGCGATTTAGGTGCGTATTAATGTAATATTTTTCGAGAAACACTGAGGGTGCAGAAAGTTTTATTTCTTCACATTTTTTGAGGTAGCATTCGCATATTTCAAGGCTGCCTTCACATTGCTGTCCACATAATTAAGGTTCCCATCCCCTCTCCGAAAAAAAAGTATCAAAATCCCAACCAGTGCCCTGGCTGATGTCGGCGCCAGGTATACGAGTAGTTGCATTAGCCAGAGGTATTGTTGATGCAACCACACTTTTCTCGGTATCGTCTTGGTCAAAATTCCCTCGCGATCCGCGGATCCGATGATCCGGGGCAGTTTCCGAAACTCACCGTCGAGTTTCAGAAGCCATGTGGATCATCAAGCTCGAATTTAGTGGCCATTGAAGATTTTTCATGGGTAAAAATTAACTTTTTGCCAATGTCTCGCGGCGCACTTAGTGAAAAGTCAGAATCCGGAGCCGTGCGTCGAAATTTTCAAAAATCACCGAACAGAATAATTGGGATTTTCTCTTGGCGGCGGGGGAGGGGGGGGGCAATTTTTAGGGGCTACGTTGGCGCAGAGCCTTCATTCTTTAGGCGCCATGACCGATTTCTTAGGCGCATTTGTGAGTTTCGAACACACCAAAATCCGTTTTCTGAATTCCGGGGTATGTTTTGGGCCCCTACACGGAGAAAAAAAAACTTCGTGGGTGGGACCCGAAGTTGAGGTCATATGGATCTCTGAAGTTTTCGGATCACGTATCTAAAAACTTGAGGTCCAGCTGCCGAAGTTCGGGTCAGACATCTGAAGTACTTCGATACTTACCGAAGGGTTCGGGTCACACATCTGAAGTATTACGGTACTTACCGAAGTGCCTCGATGTCTGACCCGAACTTCGGTAGCTCGACCTCAAGTTTTCGGATGCGTGATCCGAAAACTTCAGAGATCCATATGACCTCAACTTCGGGTGCCATACACGAAGTTTTTTTCTCCGTGTATCTTTGACCCGAGACACGGTGGTTATGCCGCTGTCCGTCCAGTAGTCTGTGAAAGGGTGTGCGGCAACATAGGCTGGCTTGCTATTGGGTAGAGCGATGTAGTAGCCTGGGAGCGTGGAAGACTGCGCGAGGTAGGCCGGTGCCGGTGCCGGTCGCCGGTCGTTGTCGCTTAGCACTCGACAATGGCTCTGCGAACGAGGCCTCGTGAGCTCCGCGAACAGACCCGACCCCATCCGCGGCCATTAACGCAAGAGAGAATCTCGCCCAACTACAAATTTAATACACCTCCCTCGCGGAATTATTTCTCAATTCCGGCCGGAGTTCCCATCCCGGGACGGACTCCGCCGGACGTCCATTGACCATCCACTCCACGAGCAGCCTCTCACTTTTAAGTCCATTTTTATTCTATTTCCTATGTAAGACAGAAATCATGCAACAAATACTGCGGAATCAGCTATTAAAACACTTACAGATGAAGCAATGAAAATTGAGCGTGTGCATTCTTTATTCAAGCGTTTCAATTCCTGTTTTCTCCTCAAAATTTCATGTAGAATATAACTCGTAGTTTTCCCGAACCAATGTAACTTCATTTCAAGGTTGGAAAATTGACCGTAACGATGCAATTTTTTACAAGAATGTAAATGTGCAATTTTTGTCCAACATTTTCCCGGTTATTGCATGAGATCAGGGGTAAAATCAGTGGCATTTTCAGTTAAAAAAGCCGAAGATTTTCTTGGGGAAAGTGCAACGTACGCGGAAAAACGTGGCAATATTGAAGTGTAGCTACGTTCTCTCGTGAGGGAAACGGCGACTTCAGATGTATTTAAATTAAGGGAACTGTATCCGTTGTGCTATGAGTCCCCTTGTGCATGTATTTTTATCGATCTCAGGGGTCATGTCAGAATAGTTCGTTCATTTGGACGTATCTCTATCAAACGGAACTAAGCGCCATAGGGGGAAGAAGGTAGAGGGGGGCTTGGATTGTTGGCAGAAACGCACTGAGAAAAAACTATGGCTTATAAACCTATTAGAGGTAAATATGGAACACCACTAATAGTAGTACATCTACATATAATAATAGCACATATACCTTAGTTATGGTACGGGGTACCTTAATTAGATACAGAAACCTTAGTATGGTTCACAGACCGAGAATCATTAGTTTATTTACGACTATTTTAAGTGTTCCATATTTACCTCTAATAGGTTTATAAACCATAGTTTTTTCTCAGTGCGGGCGTCGGGCTCGTTCCGTCCCATACCCGCAATGCTTCCCATGGCGCTTAGTTCCGTTTGACAAAACGCGCTATCCGGCATTCTAAATTCCTCAAATGTAACTCAAATTGGCGCTTAGTTCCGTTTGACAGAAATACGTCCATTTGTACGTCCTAGTCTAGGAGAGATGTCATGAACCCTGAATATCGCCGCTACTCCGACGTGTGGGCGTATCTCGATTTCAGAATGAGCTCTAGAAACCAAGGATTCATTCGTGAAACAGGGCTCACGCGGAAATTGAGAATCTCTCTTCTTACGTCAAAGGAGCGACGATATATGAACGTATTTCTGTTGAGCGGAACTAAGCGCCAAACTTAGTTCCTTTTGAGGGTATAGAATCCCGGATAGCGCGTTGTGTCGAACGGAACTACCTAAGCGCCATGGAAAAGCAATGCCGGTATAGGACGGAACGAGCATCGCGTTCCGCAACACCCGCCAATCCAAGCCCCCCTCTCCCTTCCTCCCCCTACGACGCTTAGTTCCGTTCACTGGTAAAAAAAAAAACCTCTTGGACCAATGCCGCGGTGCATTGACTTAAGAGTGCAGTTTCTTGTCGCCGGATTTAAGAGTCTTGAACTCTTGCTTAAAGCGGATTTTGCATTGAAACAGGAGTCCAGACTCTTAAATCCGGCGACAAGGAACTGCACTCTTGAACCAAGAGGTTTTTTTTACCAGTGTTTGATAGAAATACGTGGATATGTCTGGATCCCTACTCGATACTATTGACTGAGGATTCGGTTTGTTTGTTTCAGGGGACGTGCTGACGGGGGTCTGCTTCGTGGGGATGTGGAACCCGGAGAGTCTGCGGGGCTTCGTGCTGATCCCGTTGTTCGTGTACCTGGTGCTGGGGACGGTGTTCCTGCTGGCCGGCTTCGTCTCCCTCTTCCGGATCCGGACGGTGATGAAGCACGACGGGACGAAGACGGACAAGCTGGAGAAGCTCATGATCCGGATCGGGGTGTTCAGCGTGTGCTACACGGTCCCCGCGCTCATCGTCATCGCGTGCCTCTTCTACGAGCAGGCCTACCTGGACCACTGGATGCTCACCTGGAACCAGGAGGTGTGCCTCACCCACATGGCCGTCCCGTGCCCGGTCGGCGAGCGCGCCAAGGACCTCGGCCGCAAGCCCGACCTCGAGATCTTCATGGTCAAGTACATCAACCTCCTCATCGTCGGCATCGCCTCCAGCTTCTGGATCTGGTCCGGCAAGACCTTCACCTCCTGGAAGGAGTTCTTCTACCACTTCCACGGCCGCAAGGTCCAGGCCTACGTCTAGCTACCCCGAGAGGCCCGAGACCCACCTCGAGTCTCGTCTCTTTAACCTACTTACCACCCTCCACGCAGGGCTCCTTATTGGACTTGATACACCAAGCTATAGACATAGCTATAGACAAAGCTATAGACATAGCTATAGACAAAGCTATAGACATAGCTATAGACAAAGCTATAGATATAGCTTCAGATAAAAGTTTAGACAAAGATTATGACGGGAAAATGTAGCGAGCCTATCGGTGAAAGCGGTCGATTGAAATGGACTGAAGAGGTAAGTAATCGACTGTCACATGAATCGGGACGTGTGATAACCGCTAATGTCCATTTTTCCAGTTTTATGTTTTTTTAGTTCTTAATACTTTTTGGAGCTGGTTGCAACGAGCAACGGTTGGAGTGGAGCCGGGTTTCCTTAATCCCAAAACGAGTCCTTTCATCCCTTTCTGGTTGTATCAACTCTTTAAAAGTATTATCAACTCAAAGAAACTTAAGACTTGGAAAATGGACAGTAGCGGTTTTCGCACGTTCCGATTCAAATGGACCACGTTTAGCAGACAGGAACTAGCCACATCTTTTGGCAATTTAATTTTTTAGACGAAATCGGTTGTGCGGATTTTTGTGCAAATTTCAGTGAATTTTCTGCATACTGCGAAGCAAATTCCTTAAAATTGTCGAGGGAATCTGCACAACCGTTTTTTGCATCATTCCATTTTTCCGTCGTCTTCTTTGTCAATTTCATCAATTTCAATAATCAGCCCGCTACAATGGACGGAAAGGACTTGATATAAGCAGGAATATTCGGTCTCACTAGGGAAGAACACGGTATAGACATTCAATTAAGAGTTGTAAAATTTCCCTCAATAAAATATTTGTTATTGATAAAAGGTATAAATATTTTTGCTTGGACTTTTCCTCTGTTTTAATCATTTAGATTAAATCACGAATTAATAAACTTGCTAGACGAAAAATTCAAGAAAATTTCTGCCTATATCAAGTCAAGTTCGTTCCATTGCGCCGAAAATCGATGATAGGAAATCGCTCCGAAGTGCCATATTGTCAATTTAAGAAAACTTGCTGTAGGAACACTTAAATTTTGCCAAATCTCTTCGAATAATTTTAAGTGCTTTTGCTAGAAATATTGTGAATTTTGCTCTCTCAAAATTTGTGAGAATCAAATTGAAATTCAATTGAGTGTATCTGAAAGTTTCAGGGCTAAATACTCCTACCTTTTCCGAAAGGTAATTAAGAAAATCGGGATCTATAGCCTTACAGTAAGATTTTCCGTGATGTTTTGGAGTGATTATCCTATCGCCAATTTTTAACAGGTTTTTTAACTATTTTAACAATAAGACTACCAGTCTTATAGTTTTTACTTGTTTTATTTTTGCGAGGCGGTTTCTCCGGAAGTTGCTAAAGTTGAGTTGAAATATATTCCTCAAGATGGCAAGCACTCGACAAAGTATAAATAACCTCAAAGGCTTGAAAACAGCAGCTTCCTTTTTAGAGAAATTTGTCTCGATTTTGACTGATATATTTTTTTATTCGTGCCTCGTCGTGTAAAAATAGGCTTGAAATTCATTGGAAGGTATTTCTTTAAAAAAAAATTTATAATTTATTATGGTTGTTATATTGGCTCTTGTCGCGGTTCGACAATCAAGAGTTTTTTTGGTTTTTTTTTTTAAAATATTTTTTTTACTTCTTTTTTATTATTGCCTTTCCGATCTCTCGATCATAAAAAATAGGTGGCCTGAGTGCACCAGCTCATCAGTACAGTATTCTTTTATTTTATATTTTTGGAATAATTTTCCTCCCAGATAATCTTTTTTTTTTTTTACCACCTACAACAGGTGTAAATTTTGGACAAGTTTAACATAAAAAAAATGCCGGTTGTTATATTAAGTTACTTTCCAAGAATTTCTAAAGTTCTGTTTTTGAACGTTGGGTTTGCTTTTAACCTATAAACCTTTTTTGTCATTAACTCAGTCAAAAATGACCAATTTTATCGGTAGTTATATTTCGTTTTGTTTTAAAGGCATACCCGAAAATGTACAAATTTAAAGACACTTTCATTGCATTATAATCCTCGAAATACCATAAAAAATCAAATGGTATCCTTTCAACCAAAGAAGTGTTCCCACGACTATGATGAAACGAAGTGTAACTACGTTTGTTTCTTTTGAAAAAATGTGAATAATATGTATTTATTTTTGATGTATGTTAATATGTAAATATTCGTCCGTGTGATTAGTGTAAATGTCAATTTTATTTTATTTTTTTTTAAATAGTAGATTTTTCTTCTCTTTCTATTTTTCTCCGTGAACAACTTTGAACTGTGTTGTCAACCTCACACTGGTGCTTTTACGATGTGTTTTGAGTTGCAAGAATTTCCTCTCGGCTCATAATGTCACTCAGCCTTAAGTGAATTTTTTACTCTTATTTTTTCATGTAAATGTTCTCGAAAATGTTTTCGACCCATCTTTTTCACCTTATGATTACATTTTTGCCGCATTACAAAAAAGTAGCAATCGAATTGCAATTTTTTCATCATGCATTTTTTAGTTTGAAAGTTTCCCCCTTTACCAAAAAGTTCTTTGTCGACATGATCTTAGAGGAAATTATTCAAACGTCGTCGCTGAAAGAGTAAAATTTGAATGTAATAATTTTATCAAAGAAATCAATAAACAACCCATCGTAGTGACGTCAAGGAAACATTCAGTACTTCTTGTGAACATAGATGTAATGTCCATTAAACCCGAGAGGAAAAGAAAGTAAGTGTCAATCAACCGAGAGGAAAATTGAATAATGTCTGTGGACGTTTTAGCACCAAGACTTTCCGTGCCATATTGTACTTTACAAAAACACTTTTTTCGATCATTTTGAGGCGAGCGAGGTTTTATATGTATTTCTTAATGTCGTTTTTCATTTTTTCTATTTTTCACTGATTCTGACCCTCACTGTATAGTTGCAAATGAAATATTTTCATTCATTCTTGCTCATAATGTTTATCGGTCCGAAGGGAAAAGTTACACTATTTGTGTATGTGCTTGAATCGTAACTTGCGTGAACGCCAGAATTAAGAAAAACTATTAATTAGGGACCTTCCAGAAATTACGTAAGGTACTTTTTCCCCTTTTTAAACCCCCCCTCCCCCTCTTGTAAGGCANCCCCCCCCCCCCCCCCTAAAAACTACGTAAGGCTCGACTGATCGATTTTTGTTGAGGTGGTTTGCAGCTCCAAGAATCGATCGTTATACATGCATTTAAATAGAGTAAAAACAGTGTTGCCACCTCGTAAAAATTTTCGTCGCTACCCGGACAAATGAACGCAACTTTATTCCAACGTTGCACAATCGACTGTAATAATTCAGTTTCTTTTAAGAATATGACAGTGCCATTTTGTCCAAACTTTTACCGATTTATGCGTCTAATTAAATTAAATTTTACGTTAGATTTGCCCAACTGTTTTCTAGTGAAGATAAAATTTAGAAAGGGAATCTGGCACCGTTGAAATAAAGTCACGTTTTTTCGTCCGAAAATCATCATTTTTTCCCTGTACTCACTAGTTCCTTTTGTAAACGCCTAGGTAAAATAATGTTTCCCGTAACTCAAGAAAAATATGAAGAACTCTGATTAAAGTTTAGCTTAGGAATTTACCATTGACTTTTTGATTAAGTAATTTTAGAAACAAAAAATGTGATAATAATTAGTAGTATTATGTTTTTAAAACTAGTCTTTTATTGTAAGTGTCGTGCGTAGTATGTTCATAATCTGTAAATATTGTATGTACCATGTTTTTCCAAACGCGCTGAAATGTTGAAAATGAAATGATGGATTTATTTTTGTCAGATTTGAATTGAATGAATTGAATTACTGCATATATTGTCTCGTTCTAATTTTAGCCTTTTCACTAAGAAAAAACCAAAAATGAGAGTCACTTTCTTTAAGCCAATCTCATATCCGGTAATATTACAATCAAATATTCACGGAAAAAGTGGTTAAAAGCATTATTAAATAAAAACTAAATTCTCTTTGTTAAAATCAATTTTTTTTTTCAAGGCAATTTTTAATTTTTTGTTTCCCTTGTGAGTAGAGGAAGTATTGTCATTCTGATTTTTCCATTCAAAGAAAAACTATTTTGAGTGAAAGAAATGTTTTATATCGAATTAGCTTTTTTCTAATTTACAGAAATGCAACTTTTCATCGATGCCAAATTCAATTTTCTTTGCATTAATAAAGAATAACTCATTTCAATGAACAGTACAATTCTTTCACTCAAAAATAATTACTTTCGCCTACCAAAAGGTTATTTAAACTAAAGGGAATCTCGTTTCAATTTTGGAAAAAAAAGGTTTTTAACAATTTGTTCTGTGTTTTCATGACGCACTGGAAAAAAAAACACACTGGATCTAGAGTCTAGACTCTTAAAAACATCGACAGGAAAAAATACTCTTGATTCAATCGGATTTTTTCTTAAATCAAGAACCAAGCCTCTTAATTTGAGCGGATTTCCTTTTGATTTAAGCAAAAATCTGATTGAATCAAGAGTATTTTTTCTTGTCAATGTTTTCAAGAGTCTGGACTCTAGATCCAATGTGTTTTTTTTCCAGTGCGGAAGCCTGTTGAAAATGGATAGATTACTCCGTCCTGTGTGATTATATTATGATGAGGTGCCTCTGTAAATTCTTGAAGAAATTACAAGGGTACGAGGGATAAACGTCAATCAATTCATACCTAGGCAGTCATGCGCCACGAGTTAATATAACAACATAGGGAGTCAGTCGGTAGGATCGTAAATTGTATCCGAACAAATATGAGTTGGTTTTCGACGGTAGTTTACCAAGCCTAAGATTCCTCGTTACCTCCGCTCTGGTAAACTGAGGTGCCGTCGATTCGACCCGTTAAAGCCGTAACCGCGCGCGTCAAAAATTAATTAGAATGCAGAGCGTTGATGAGTTACTTATAAAGTCGGGCGAGCCACGCGATGGGTTTTATTGCGTTTTTATGGGCCGGCATTCTTGGTCCCAGGTCTTATCAACTATGATGACGTCACCCGGGTGAATGAGATAACAAGAGCGGAAAATACATCGACGATGAAATTGTAAAACCGCGTACCTCGATTGCGCTGTTGCAAAATCTCATGCCTTC